AAATAATTAATTTATAATTATCTGAAGTGTCTGATAATTAATAAATAAAATTTGATGGAAAATATTTAATTAAAAAACACCAATATATGAAATTTATAATCATCCACATTAATAATATGCAATCCAAAAGAATTCTTTTGAGTATATTATTTTAAAAACAAAGAGTTGTATATCAAGTTGTAAATCTTTATTTAATAATAATAGCGTAATTAATACACAGAGAGTAATAAAAATATAAAAGCTTTTTGAAAACATTTTAAGATATAAGATTTGTTAAATTTTAAAAATTTTATTTGTAAAACGAATAAATTGTAAAGATTTTGGGTTGTGAACCCAAGATTTTATATTTAGAGTTTACAATTTAGTCTAGTATTAAACAAGTATTTTTATAGATATGTATATTTCTGCACGAATTTAATTTGTTATATTTCAATTAGAAAATCAAATTTTATTGGTAAGTTATTGTTTTACAACAAATTACTAAAATAATATTAATTGAAATTGATGTTCATTATCATAAATAAATCAGAAAATATTATAGACATATATATTTATTTTCATAATTTGGTTAAATTATTTTTATTTAAATTAATATATAATATATTTATTTTAATTTGTTACATAAAAAAAATTATAACATAACTATCTAATAAAACGTTCCCCGGCCAAAGAGGTCACCTTAATACTGGAAAAAAATAAATAAATAAAAAATAAAAAAAATTATATTGAACGATAATATTTAAAGTTTCTGCCAATAAAAAATATTAACTCCTTTACATTAAACCACTCATCATTTTCTTCTATAGACCAACCAAATCCATTATCACTATCAGATTTATTTTTGAAATCAAATGTTTTGATTTCATCATTTCTTATAGCCTTGACTTTATATTCAGTCAAGATTTCTTTTTCTCGGGTTGGATTTTGTATCATGAGAGTAATGACATCTTTGAGTGTTGGGCCTTCTTTTAGTAAGCCAGCTATTTCTGTATGAAATTCTGGCTTAAAAAATTTGAGATATTTGAAGCCTGGAATATTTGAAGATGCTATTTTAAAGATGTTTTTTTCGAATTTACTATCTTTGATAGATTTGAAAAAAAGTTTAATTTTTTTAATAACAAAGGAAGGCATATTATTTATATTTTTATTTTAGTTTGTTTTTGGAAATTTCACAAAAAAATTAGCTATCATATATAAATCTACAATTCTTTTATAACTTTATTTCACAATATAATTAATCCAAAATAAGAAATAAAATTTTATTGGTGTGAATTTAGAATTTAATCGGGGTTAAATTAATTTGGAGAGTAGATTTTTTGATTGATTCTTTGATAAAGAAATAAATTGAATTATTTTTATAAATTGTTTTTTTATTATAAATTGTTAAACTATTACTTTTTGGTCTAAACTAATATAATTTAAAGATTTATCTTGTTTCGAAAAGGAGAATCCTTTATTCATTGCTTCTTTAATTGTAATTGGTTCATTATTTTCTAAGTTTTCTAAATATAATATTAAAATCACCATTTTTGGTTAAATAATTTATAGATAGAAAACAAGTAATTTTAGTTTCAGTCATTTTTTATAAATAATTAAAATTTA